TGAATGGCAGTCAAAAGTTTTCCACTTCTGCGCACGGAACCATCCTCCATTTGGCCCATGTATTCAAGGTAAAAACACAGCATCAAAAATCTCATTACTACGATTCCGTTGAAAATATTTTTATCCAGATTTTTTAAGCTTAAACTGTTTCGTCATCTGAGGCGATTTTTTTCAAAAAGTTCTTTAAGAACCTATTTTTATCTAAATGGAAATATTTTTCCGAAATATTTTGGTGAGCGTCTTCAAACATAATAAATTTTGTAATTCCTGCGGGAAAGTCGCAACTTTTTTGGTGATGCAGTCCAATGTACATACATACATACATATCAAGCCCTAACCGCCAAAAATATGTCAGCGGCATTTTGAAGAACTTTAAATTTTTATGCTCTAGGAACATTTCTACATCAAAAAGAAAATTTTGTAAAAAATATCCTTACATCTTTTTGGCGGTTAGGGCTCGATATGTGAAAATTACGTGATTGACGGAAAACTAACTCACACACGCTCGGCAGCAAAAATTTCAGTCACGCACGATCACGGAAGTTACGTGATTTTTCTCTCAAAACCGACACGACGTGTCACGTAGAAAATCACGTATTTTGCCCATGTCTAGTTTTGAATTCCGTCCTTTGAGCCTTTTGTGAGTAATATACAGGCCTTTGTACAAAGCTGNTTAGTGAACCATAACTGTGTTTGCTCTTGAGGAACATACATACGTTTAGGCACATGCTTTTCAAATAATTTATGTAAAGTAAAGTAAACAAGTAAGAGCAGCGCTGTCTTCGGCTATGCCGAAGGCTTCATACCTTTCATGAGTATCTGAAAATTTTACTTTAATAGATTACTGCATTTTAAATAAATTTTATATTTACAGAATACATAGATAGAGGAGATACATATATGTAAAACCATATCTAAACAATCAGAGGTATGGAAGATACCGTATATTGGTGCTATAAGTGATTTTCACTGCTGTGTTATCGGTATGTAAACCGGTAACACAATTTAATGGGTTTAGACTCCTACATAAAGGAGATATATCGTAATAACTGGTATCTGCACAATCAGAGGTATAAGAGATAAAGCTTATACAGTAGGGTGGAGTGAAAATTTTTTTTTTTTTAAATCGCTTTTGGCAGACCCGTAGAAAGTTGCCTTTCTACCCCAGAAATATGTGTGCAAAATATTATTTTCCTTATCGTATGTTTTGAGGTGCCCCAACGCCATTAAGTTTTGAAAAAAAAAAATGATACATTTAGAGGTGCCCCCAACATTATAAACTTAGAGAAATTCAAAATTTCTTATCGAAAAACACTAAAGTATAATATTGACAAATTAACGCTAAATCATATTCTGTGTCTTCCCGTTGGCAACAATTTGACTTTGAATAGTGCGCGGATAGGTGAGGGAGAAGAGGTGATTTCTCTGCACTTGTCAGTCGTTGCTCGAACGCTATTAAGTGAGCGCGTCGCGCGTGTTATTGTTATTCTACTTGTGAGGAACATTGATTTTAAACACTGCCGTTAAGGAAATAACACTCATGTAAGTAATATTTTCAAATTACTGTTTACAGATAAATACAATTCAGATCGTAATTAAATATTTTCGATGTGAGTTACACCTATTATTTCTCTTTGTTACAGTAAAATGTCGCAAGTCAAAACACGACAAACGACATGTTGTCCTGTGTTTGGTTTGCCAGAGAAGTTACCAGTGTCTCAATTACCAACTTATAATGATGTTATGAAGTATTACTTATTTATTAGATACGAATTAAAACCTGACAAAACAACAAAAGAGCCGACAGTTCATGATATATCCGAAAGATTGGCTACGGAAATTTTAGATATCTGGCGAAAAGCGTCGCTTCCCACTGTCAGCTTTAAGAGAGTACTACAACTTATTCGATCTTACCATGACAAGTATAGACGCTTACTAAAACCTTATCAGGACCGTCGAACGAACAAGAAATATCAAGAAAAGATAACTGAATTTGTTACTGAGTCCCAAAGGTTATTTGATATTTGCAGTTGCAAATGCAAACTTACTAACTCAAAATGTACTTGCTCAAAAGACAGCCGTGTTCCCAAGGAAGAAGTATCTTTCTTAATTGATCAAAGAACTACGAGAAAAATGATGATAGGCGGGGTAGATTTGGTTGCGACAGTAAAAAATATGAAAAAAATAAAAAGACAAGAAAAAGAATTACTGCGTAACAAAGAGATAATGGATCCTAACCAGCCGTCTTGTTCTCGTTCTTTGCCTGATGACTTAACGATCGAAAGTACCAGTTCAAGCAATAATAGCGTAGCTTCTAGCCATTATCAATCGCCAAAACAAATAGCTGCTCCGCCATCAAAGAAAAAGGGATTAAATTTACCATCATTAGCTCTCGCCTGTGATCGTACTGGAGTCTCTGACAGAACAGCTGCTATTATAGCTTCTTCTGTGTTAAAAGATGTTGGAATTATTACATCAAAGGATCCAAGTGCTGTCATTGATCGTTCAAAATTGCGCCGTGAAAGAACGAAAGTCAGATCGGCATTACAAGATGCAGATTGCAATAAAAGTATACGCGGTATTTATTTTGATGGCAGAAAAGATAAGACTTTAGTAAGCACTCAGAAGAAAGGCAAATTTTATAGAAAAAGAACTACAGAAGACCATTATGTGATTTTATCAGAACCAGGAAGTGATTACTTCGGGCATGTTACGTGTGAGTTGGGAACTGCTAAAGGTATTGAAAGAACCATAATAAATTATTTGAGAAAAAAATCGGTGAAATTGGATGAATTAGTTGTTGTTGGTTGCGATGGTACAGTCGTGAATACAGGTTTCAAAGGAGGTGTTGTTCGGTTAATGGAAGAAGAACTTAATAAACCATTACAATGGTTTGTCTGCCAGTTACATTCGAATGAGTTACCATTGCGACATCTTTTATTGCATTTGGATGGAAAAACTACAGGGCCTAAATGCTTTTCAGGTCCTATTGGATCTGAATTACAAAAATGTGAATCAATGCCAATTGTCCAATTTACCACCATTCCCTCCATATTACCTGAAGTCACTAAAAATGAGTTGAGTACCGACCAAAAATATCTTTACGATGTGATGACAGCTATCAGCACTGGCATTTTTTCTCCCGATTTAGCTAATATTACACCTGGACCTCTTAACCATTCTAGATGGCTTACAACAGCAAATAGAATCTTAAGATTATATGCTACTAAAACAGACCCCGAAGAAAATTTAGTGATATTAGCTACGTTTGTAATGAGAGTTTATGGTCCAATGTGGTTCACAATAAAATGTAATCCCTCATGTACAAACGGAGCTAAGCACCTGTGGCAAACAATAAGCCTAACTCGATATTTGAACGAGCCTTTAAAGAAAATCATTGATAAGGTGATCCAACGAAATGGATATTTCGGTCATCCAGAAAGTATTCTTATTGCTATGCTTGCAGACGACAGAGAAATTATACGTAAGCTGGCTTATCAGCGAATTTTGAAAGCAAGAGCAGAGAATACTCAAGAGCTTCGTACTTTTAAAGTGCCTGCTTTAAACTTCGATGCCAAAGATTATACCGACTTAATTACGTGGCAAGACTGTAAGATAACTGAGCCACCTCTGACTTCTAATTTATCTGACGAAACCTTGAAAGAGATTGTCAAAAGTGGGTTGACTACGTGCCAGAATATCAAAGATTTTCCATGCCATACCCAAGCCGTAGAGCGCGTTATCAAATTGGTGACAGAAGCTTCAAGTGCAGTTTGTGGAGAAAATAAACGAGATGGTTTTATAAGGGCAAGACTATTATCACGACAGCAAATGCCTAATTTTGAAACAAAAAAACAATTTAATACTAAATAATCTACTTATTTCTGATTTTTTTCATTCCTTTATAAAATAATTTTTGTAATTTTTCTTAATAAAAAATATTAAAACAACTCATCAGGCTTTTATTTAACCTATCACAAAGTAGTTTGTTTTATAATAGACTTGAAAGTCATACAAATACTTTCATTAAAAAATAAATCAAAGCTTGTAAAAAAAAAATTTTGTTCTAATTTTCAATTGGGTTGGGGCACCTCAAAACATCAAGACAAGTAAACAATTTTTTGAATACTGAATTCTCTCATTGAACGACAACTTTTTATCACTATTCCATTCAAAAAAAACGAAAAAAATTTTTTTTCATACAACATCACTCCACCCTATTATACAGCGTAGATTTTGACGATTTTCTCAGTAGGCTTTGTATTATTATTTATAGAATAGCTAACGAAATTTATCTGTGTTAGCAGTCCAAATAAAGCAGTTTTACGGTAAAACGGCATATCTGAACAATCGGTTGTATGGAGGATATAAATAGGTTACAGTGACCCGATCTTTGTTAATTTTACTGTAAACTTTCTGTTGGTAATTAGTGTAAATATTGCGAAATTCTCATAGATTGCATACAAACAGATGGACAGACAGACAGACAGACAGACAGACAGACAGACATACGGATAGACGGACAGACGGGCATGGCTAAATCGACTCAGCTCGACGTTCTGATCATTTAAGTATACATTTTAATGGGTCTATCTCTTCTTATTCTGGTACTTACAAACATCGGACCAAAGTTATAATACCATTTCATGCTCATGAAAGGTATAAAAATAAGTTAAGACCTTTCTATACCAAGGTAACGATGTAACAATAATGGCCTATAAAACTGTACACTCAAAAATGTTTATAATTTTTGTACAAAGTTTGAAATGTGTATTTGTATGGTACTTGTTATATAATGCGCTAGACTTTTATAAAAAAATGTGAAACATGGAATAAACTAAAGAAATATAACCAAAACTGGTCAGAATAAAAAGTTTATATTATTTCTTTCACCACTTTACATAAATGCACTATGTATGTGCATATAAATATTTACATAAATGCAAATGTACATATGTAAGTCATAAGTTTGCTTAAGGTTATAAATATGCAAATATTACCTGAAACTTCTGCTTCAAATAAACGCAAGATAATATAAAACATAGTACAGGGATGAAGTTCCACAAAAAAGAGCTCCAAATGCTTGTACTAAACACAGCTACTAATGCTCCGACCATCATCAGGAAGATGGTGCCTGGTCCCAAGATTGTACCAACCATAAGCATTGCCTGATATGCGATGTACGGCATTGAAATAGAACTATTGTTCTTTACAACTATGTCTGCATCGGATAACAAATCAAATATGTTAGCAATAGTAGAGGGCACCCAACGGCGACGCTGATTATAAAATTCATTAAACATCTCTGGTGAATGTGTGTAAGCGTCCGAAGCGGCTGAATACTCGACGCGAAAGCCCTGCTTCAAAATCAATGTGCATAACCATCGATCCTCACCTTGGTCGTACTGAACATAATGCATGGGCTCACTTGATACCGTTGTGTACTTCTTGATCACGCTATTTTCCATAAGTGCACTGCCACGAAAGAGACTAAAACATCCCGGACTGCAGAGCACACAGCCAATGACGTGCTCTGTGGCTTTTTGGAGCCAATGGCCTATGGCATATTCGAAAATTTGGTACCATACCATGGGTCCACGTCCAACGGGGTGAATTCGTCCACAAGCTGCACCCAACTCATCTATGGCTTTCATGCGGTCAATTAAAAGCTGCACGGCCTGTGGTTGGAAATCGATATCACCATCCAATGCCAAGAGGAATGTGTTCTCCGCGATAACGGCTTTGCGCCGTGCAGATATACCTTCTAACTCCATTATTCGAAAGCCAAGTAAATAATACATGTACATAACTTGAGACCAACGCTTCTTGTGCCTGATTTTGTCTTTATTTTTCAAATGAGCAATCATTTTGGATCGACCAGGCAAAGTCCATATGAGGCGACCACCATAAGGAGTTTCAGTTTTGACTGGAGGTTTTATTTTCATATTGACACCATAAACCTCAAAACATGCCTTCTCAATGCTGATAATTAATGTTTTAACATATTCGTTCATCGGAGGATTTCGAGAATTTTCACACAACTTTTCATCCAACACGAACGCGTCATCAAAGAAGATATTTGCTAATGAGATATAGAAGCAGAAACATTATTATTAAAACAACGCGTGGGTAGAGAAAAATTCTTAGCCTAGATGTCCCTTTTTCAAAGAATTGGCGACGCGAAGTTTTATTTGAAGCTTTTTTATTTGCATTTTAATAGTTTTGGGCAAATATTTTCATAGTTTTAGGCCCAGTTAAGCTGTTAAAGTGTACAGACTCGCAGCCTATATATATATGTATGTATGTATATATCGCACACCGTGTTCAAAGAGTCACAACTCGAAATAATACGTTTGTCAGAAAATGTGAAAAACCATTTCTTAGCACATGATAATCATATGGGCAAGGGCGACTTTACCTTAGGTTTTTTTTAACAAATTATAACAAAAATGTGCTCCAGCTTTTGCTGAAAGGTAAATAAAAGCTCTGTGTACATTTGTAGTACATAATTTCAAAAATTCAAAATTTTGAGTTGTGACTCTTTTGAAGACCGTGTGCGATTTTTGGGTCATTATCAGAACGGATATTTATATTCATTAATAAAAATGAACAAAAATCCGAAATTACATATCGCACACCTAGATCTGAAGTGCGATCAACTAAAAAAAAACGCATTTTTCATAAAACATGAAACATATTACCTGATCTCTGTGCACTGCAGGAGTTTTCCGTCTTCATCATGCTCTTCAAATGTACACAGAAGAAATACGTTTTAGGGATCTTGCGTTTTAATCATATATTTGGGCTTAAATTTGGATTTTTTGAGTTATCTCTCTTTTGTTTGACAAATGTGTGTATATTTTTAAGTTATTTTGAGTTGAACCCATTTTGATGAATTTGTAGTTGATTTTCTTTTAAAGAGTCAACGTAAATTTATACTGGGCAACATTTTCAGTTCATTTATAACAATCCAAAACACAGTACACTACTCAGAAATTGTAGTTATTCGTCAGATTGTAGTTATTCATCAACCCGTGCAGACGTGTTTTTCTCAAGCTCACGGTTATCTTATTACTTAAATTTTTACATTGTGCGATAGTGATACGATTGCTCTGATCGTCTTGCTTGGACACTTTTAATACTTTATTATTATCATGTCGTGTGGATGTGGTCAAAAAGTTGACCGTAACCATCAACAAAAAATTCAATGTGTCAAGTGCAGTGTAATTTTTCATCTAAAATGTGAAAATCTCCTACCGGCTGATATTGAATATATGCAAAAGTCGAACAAGCAATATTGTTGTAAAAAATGCACAAAAGCGCGCCGAAATTCTATTCCCGCATCTCCCCCTCGCTCAACTACTCCGTCCAAAGATGTTGTCTCGGCTACCAACAACTCCGCTAATTCAGCGACCGCAAATAACTCTCCGCTGCCAGCTACTTCGGTCACCGATTGCAACAAAGAATTAACTTTGCAGGCTGTTCTCAACGAAATTCGATCTCTTAGATCTGACCATGAAAAACTATCTCAATAATTAGCTCTTTGCAAAGCGAAAAGAAATTGTTGATAAAAAAAGTTGAAGATCTGCAGATAGAAGTGCAAGCTGTTCGCCGCAAACTTTGTGATTTTGATGTCGCAGCCTCAATCCCCTCTATTGCTAATGACATAAAAGATATCCGCAACGATTTCAATAAAATGCACGAAGTTATAACTACAGCCTCTGGAAACGGGCAGGCACATGATATACACTCAACGCCGCCACTTTTACCTCCTGCTCCACCTACTTCCTATGCTTCTGCTGCTGCTCTTTCTGCTACTGCCATTCGTGCCGTTGATACTCTCGCTGCATCTGACTCACGTAATGATACCAACTCCAACAACCTCTCACTTGCTGCTTTGCGGAATTCCAATGTATACAATAAAGCGAAAAAGCAAATTTCTTCTGTTCCGTGGCCCCCTCCGCCTTCGTTGGCTGTATCTCCTAACAACCAGCCAGGGCAGTGGGACAACGATGACAATTTCATACCTGTTGGCGCTAGGAATAGAAGAGCAAAACGGAATGCGAATAACACTGTTGTTGGACGCAATGAAAGTCGCGTATTGGATGTAATTGTCAATTTAAAGTGGGTACATTTGTCTTATTTCAATACCACTGTGACCGCTGAAAACATTATGAGCTATGTACATGATCACGCTGCTATTGATAAGAGCGATCTGAGATGCTATGCCTTAGTAAAGAAAGATGCCGAAATTGAAGGACTGAAGAGAGTATCGTTCAAACTTGGTGTAGCAAACAAATATTACGATAAACTTTTCGACCCATCGCTTTGGCAAGAGAACATAAGAGTACGGCCGTTCTTAAATTTTCCAAGAGAAGAAGAGAAACCGCAGCAGGCCTAGCGAACGCCAACGCTGTTAGTAATTCATCGGATGCTGCAGAATTCCTTCTCTATTATCAAAATGCTGGTGGTATAAGAACCAAAATGCTGCCATTGTTGTTGTTTTCATCGTCGGCTCTCTATGATATCATAGTCTTAACTGAAACTTGGCTTTCTGAATGCCATCATACTGCAGAAATGTTCGATTGCCAAGTGTATAACGTATATCGCAAAGACAGATGTCCCCGCACAACTGGTGTCTCTAAAGGTGGCGGTGTACTTGTTGCCGTTCGTTCGAGTCTACCCAGTAGGCAAATAACCCTGTCTTCTGAAATGAGTTCAGACCATCGTTATAGATAAATTGCATGAATTATTCATTGCAGTAAGTTACATACCGCCATTAAGTCCAATTGAATTGTATAAAATACATAGAAGTAATTGTTGCTCGATATTGAATAGTCTAAATGATAATCAAAACATTATAATATTGGGTGACTTCAATTTGCCAAATGTTAAATGGTGGTTTGATGATGACGTTAAGCAATTTTTGCCATATGATGTAACAAGCGAGAGTGAATGTGAGGTACTCGACACCTTCGCTGAGTTTAACCTCTCTCAAATAAATAGAGTTCATAATGACAAAAATCGTATTCTTGATTTAGTGTTTACTAATAATGATCTTAAATCCGACGTCGAATCCCTCTCTTCACCCCCTCTTTCAAACTCTATGCATCACAAAGCACTATGTATACGCTTTGAATTTATAAATTATTTAAAATCAGTTATTTATAATTGTAAGAACTATAATTTCATTACAGCCAAATTCACTGAGATATCACGCTCCCTGAATTCTGTTGATTGGGAATCTGCCTTAGACAAAGCTCTATTGTCACAGGCCTACGACGTATTTCGGGACAACCTGGAAGCGGCAATTGAAAAGTTCGTACCTATGAAGCCAGTAAAAAAATTTGTCCAAACCAGCCTGGTATAACTCTAGGCTTATTAATATAAACAACAAGAAAACTAAGGCGTACAAGCTGTATCGCAAATCGAAAGACAATTTTGAACTTTTTGAAGCCTACAGTAGTTTACAAAAAGAGTTTGACGCTCTGAATAAATTTTTATACCAGAGCTATATATTGAAAATTGAGAGCGAAATAAGATTAAATAGTAAACGGTTTTGGCAGTTTATAAACAGCAAAAAGAAAAACACCGGAATTCCTGATCTGATGCATTATTTGGGTGAATCCTCGACGGACGTTCAAACTATTTGTAACCTGTTTGCCTCCTTCTTCCGCTCTGTTTATGTTCCTCAGTCTGAAACCGGAACAGTCAATAATTTACATAGCAGCACACTTCTGCCTGAAGGCTTACAGCTTTCAGCTGAAGAAGTTCTAGCTGGCCTTTTGGATTTGCCAAATGACCCAAATCCTGGAGAAGACGGTTTCCCTCCTACTTTATTAAAGAACTGCGCTTCAGCGTTAGCTCTGCCTCTATCAATTATCTTTAACAAATCCCTATCATTAGGGGAATTCCTACATAATTGGAAAAAGTCCTTCATTAAACCTATTCATAAGTCTGGGAGCAAGTCGGACATACAAAATTATCGTCCAATCTGTAAAATTTCAAGTATACCAAAACTTTTCGAAAAACTTGTCCATGATAGGATTGTTTTCCAGATTTCTGGGCTCATATCGCCTTACCAGCACGGATTCATTAAGGGTAGAACCACTTCTTCAAACTTGGCCTTATTTTCAAATTTTATTTTAAAACAATTCGAGATAGGTCAACAATGCGATGTCATTTTCACCGACTTCTTGAAAGCCTTTGATAAGGTGAGTCATAAAACACTACTAGGAAAGCTGGAATCAATTGGACTTCATGCTAGCACGCTTAAGTGGCTTGCATCTTATCTTGCTGATAGGACCCAATTCGTCCGTATAAATAACACTAAATCAGATGTGATTAAAGCCACTTCTGGTGTACCACAAGGCAGCCACCTGAGACCGTTACTTTTCTTGATCTTTGTCAATGATATTCCCGACGTTTTCTTAACATCTCGTTGTCTAATGTACGCAGATGACTTGAAGATATACAGTCGCATTGAAAACACGTCCGACTGCATTAAACTTCAAGATGACTTACTCAGATTGCAAGTATGGTGTGATGCTAACTGCTTACCTCTCAACGTTGGTAAATGCCAGTATATGTCCTTCAGTAGACGTAAAGTGACAATTTACTATCATTATAGGTTGGGCTCTGCCACTCTCACTAAAATTTATGAAAGGAAAGATCTGGGGGTCATCTTTTCTTCGAAAATGTCCTTTTCTAAACATATAGATTTGATGATAACCAAGTCCAGGTCTATGCTCGGCTTCTTAATGAGAAATTCAAATGAATTCCGGGACCTTTTCACTCTCAAGAGCTTGTATTTTGCATTTGTAAGATCCAATCTTGAGTATTGCAGCATCGTTTGGGCTCCTTTATATTCGGGTTCATCCTTAAGGATTGAGAAGGTCCAGAAACGCTTTACTAGATATGCCATTCACTCTCTGAATTGGAATTGTAGTACGCCTAATTATAAGAGTAGGTGCCTTATGCTGGCATTGCCGACATTACAAATGCGTAGACAAATTTCCTCGATAATGTTTATTAGGGACATAGTCACGAGTCACATCAATTGCAACCTCTTGCTTGAGCTTA